TTTTTTTGGGGGGGGGGGGGGGGGCGCCGTCACCACCACCAACAGCACCACACCACAAGCAGCAGCAGCAGCAGCAGCGGCGGCGGCAGCGGCCTCACGCCGTGATGTGCAGGAAGCGCTCGCCCGGCGGGGTGGCGGCCATGCGGCGCACCGCCGCCAGCCGCCGCTCCTCATCCCAGCACCCAGCTGCGGCGCCGCACGGCGTCGATGCCCTGGGCGTATCCGGCAGCCCAACTGGCGGCGCTGCGCACCGGTAGTCGGCTAGGAGGTGCCGCGGCGGCGGCTCGCAGGTCTGCTGCGTACCAGCGGCAGCGGCGGCGGCGGCGGCGGCGGCGGCGGCGGCGCACGCTCCGACGCCTCCGCCTGTGCCTGCGCCGTCCGGCTGCCGCACTCGCGGCTGCCAACCATGCTTGTTGCCGGCCCCACGCGCGTGGCTGGCCTTTTCACCGACCTGCGGTGGGGTATGACAGGGCCTTATGGACCCTACTGGGGTCCATAGCACCCCAGTAGCCTGGGCGCTGCACCACCCGAGACCAGTGGCGCGGGCAGAGCGGCCCCAGTTTCGCCAGCCGGGGGTCCAACAAGCCCACCTGAGGCCTCAACCGCGACCCAGTGCAGCCCATGGGGCGAGCCGCTCCCGAGCCAGCAAGCCACGCGCGAGCGCACAAACAGGAGCGCGGTTATCTGCCAGACGGCGGCATGCCATGCTGGGAAAAACGCTTTGCCTCGATGGGCAAATCGGAAAAAATAGTCCTGCGGTGGGCCAGGCTGTCGAACCGGCTCCCGGAGGGGAAGGAGGAGATCTGAAGCCGTCGGTTCTGCTACCAGCAAACATAAAAAATGCAAGCGCGACGAGTGTGGGCGGTGTGCAGGCCAAGGCCGTGAATGGGAGGGTGGCCAGCCGCCGCCGCCGCCGCCGCGCCCACGAAACGCTGACTGAAGAGACGCCACACCAATGCGTGGCTGTGCTTCTCTAGGCCGCGGGTTGTGATCCCTGGCGATACCCTGTGGAACCTTAACGCAGGGCTGCACTGGCACCAGCGCGCACTTCAGCTGCCTGCCCAGCTGCGCAACAGGCGAGAGGCTTTGCGTCGCAAGAGCGGTGCGCGGGCAGCAGAGCCTTGGCCCACACGCCAGACGGCCACCGCCAACCCGTCTCTTCTTTCAATGCCACGGGCCGGGCGCCATCTGGCGCAATGCATCGGCGCAAGGGAGCGGCCGTGGCGAGGCGGCTGTGGCAGGCGCGGCTTGGAATGCGGACCCCGCAAATCATGTGCATGCAATTGAATTTGTTAATAAAGACGATGATGAGAAGGGCCTGTGGCTGTGCAGATGAGCATGCCGAAGAGGCAGCGGCGGCGGTCGGCGGCAGATGGCAGATGGCGGGCGGCACCCCGCCCCCCGAGCATCTCCCACGGCGACCGAAAACCCTAAACCCATGCATCGTCGCCTGGTGCCCGTGCACACTGAATCTCTTCACTCCCCCGTTCCCCGTCCCCACACCACCCCGGCCTGTGCCCGCAGCAACGCCCCAGCGCGCGCAGCCATGGCGGCCCAGCCCGAGCCCAGCAAGCTGGGGCGCCACCTGGTGCGCCACGAGCTCACCGACCAAGTCCGGGCCGCCGCCGCCGCGGAGCTGGGCGCCAACGCGACGGCGGCGGGCCACGCCCTGTGGCAGCTCAGGTGCGCCCCTGCCGCCGCCACCTGCTCCTGTGTACTCTCACCAAGGGGGCTGAGCGGTCTTTCAGAGGCCAGTGCATACCTGACACTTGTGCCACTCTTGCGCCGCTCCGTCTGAGCCGCCGCACCTCCATGTGCCGCCGCCGTGCGCTCATCAAGCCCTGCTGGCTCGCCCGCTGCCCCAATGGCTGGCCTGCTGCAGGAAGCAGGCGCTGCGGGACACGTTTGAGCGGGTGTATGGCGTGCCGACAGCCAGCGGCAACAACGGTGGGGCGGGTGCTGCTGCTTCCTGTGCAAGACATGCCGGGGGGTGGCGCTGGTCGGGGCGGGGCGCACCGCCTCAAAGTCGTGCCCAGGCCGGTGCCTGCTGCCATCGCCGCCATCAGGACATGCCGCCGCAGCCGTGCCGGCTGGTTGGGCAGCGCTGCCTGCCTCGCACCGCCGCCGCCGAGGCCACGCTTGTTTCCACCCTTCTCCTCCCGCGTCCCCCCTGCAGACTGGCTGAGGGGCAAGCTGCTGCAAGGTGGGGCCTGGCGCCTTTACAGGGAGCGGGGTGGCGGCTGTGGCCGCCTGGTGAGGGGCGGGCGGGGCGGACGGGACCCAACTGATGTGGCTTGCGGGGTGGTGTGCATAGGCGTGCAGAGCTGCACCTGCCTCATGCACGCTAGCCTGCCCGGCCGCTGCCGCTGGCGGCGCCTGCCTCCGTGCCCCACCCCCTGCCTCTTGCGCCCTGCCTGCCTCACCCCTGCCCGCCCCTCGCCCGGCCTGCAGCCGTGGGCCTGCCCGCCTGCTGGCACCCCGACGGCGGCGCCGGCGCCGTGCAGCCGCGGCCCCAGGCGGCGGCGGCGCCGCGCTGCGGCGGCGGCCGCAACCAAATGCAGCGCAGCAGCGGTGGCGCCGATGGCTGGCCGACCGAGCCCAGCTGCTCTCCCATGGCCCCCACGACCCCTCCCTCAGCTGCCGCCATCTCCCCGGCAGGCGGGCCTTTCACCGGCGACGGCGCTACGGCCCTGCATGAGGCCTTGCACGGCCAGCTCAGCGCCGAGGGTGACCGTGCGCTTGCTTGGCTGGCATGCCAGCTGTGCGCGGGCTTCCGCGGTGCTTGTCTGCCCGGCCTCCCGCCTGACGGGACCCCCCTTTGTGCCGGCTTGCCCCCCACACCCACACCCACACCCACACCCACCCTCTGGCACTGCAGTCTGCGGGGCCATTGCCGCAGCGCTGTCCAGCCTGTCACCACAGCAGCAGCTGGCGGCAGCGGCGTTTGCGTCGAGGGCGCTGATGCATCCCGCCGCCGCCCGCTTGCGGGATTTGTATGCGCTGCTGGAGGATACCGGGAGCTTGGCGTATACTGTGGATTCCACGGCGAGCCAGGGGGTGCCCCTGGCGGCCTGGGTGGCCGTCAAGCAGGCATGCCGGCCGGGGCCTTGACCGGGCGGCCGCCTGCCTGTGTTCTGCTGCTGGCGCTGTCGGCAGGGGCGGTGGGCCGGTGTCAGAGTGAACACGCTGCCGCCGACAGCCGCCGCACGCCAGTATAGCAGCATGGAGGGCCCTCCAGCTGCGCCCCCAGGAAACAGCAGGTACAGCAGGCTGTAAGCTGTAGCATACGGCAGTTGCACCCAAAAGGAGCACGTGCATGCTACGGGGCGGCTGGGCTGAGACGCCACCCGCGGCGCCTTCCCTTCATGCCTTCTGCCTGGTCGGCTGTGTTTGGGCAGCGCAGCACTGTTCGGCAGGCCGTATGGTTCGGCTACAGGGTCAGCTCACTTCTTTGTGACCGAGAGATGCAGGCAGCAGGGGACACAACACACAGGAGGGGCGGCTCGGCGGCTCATGCCGTGGGTGGCCGTCTGTTGGGCCCATGGCTGGAGCAGTACTTGGGGAGGACGATTGCGTTCACAGTAGTATTCGGATTGCTTCCCCATGCATTGGCATGTTAGGTGATGTTCAGGCGATCCAGCTGTGCGGCGGCTGCGCCCCGGGCTGTGCTCCCGACCAAGCCCAGCGCCAGCAGCATGCCACGCCGCTCCTGAACACAGGACAGCACAGCAATTCCTGATGCAATGCGGGGGCGAGCCTGGCGGCAGAGGAGGTAATGGCGGCAAAGGAGCTACAGGTGGAAGCGGCGGCAGACAGCGGCGGCAGACAGCGGGCGGCTGCCAGGGCTTTTAGGGGTGCTGTACGTACGCGTTTGCGCCTGCAAGGGGCATTTCCCCCCAAGCACCCCCACCGGCCGAGTGACACAACCCATGGCGCCCGTTGTTCCAGCCCTACTTTTGCGCGCTGCCGGAAGCTCTCCACGCGCATGTGCCCCTCCCCACTCCTCCCCCACACCTCCCAGCCTGTGCCCGCTGCCCCATCCACAACACCGCCCCCTCGCGACGCCGCCCCGCGCGCAGCGATGGCGGCCCAGCCCGAGCCCAGCAAGGTGGGGCGCCACCTGCTGCGCCACGAGCTCACCGACCACGTCCGGGCCGCCGCCGCCGCGGAGCTGGGCTGCGACGCAACGGCGGCGGGCCACGCCCTGTGGCAGCTCAGGTGTGCCGCCGCCGCCGCCTGCTCCTGTGTACTGTCACCAGGAAGCGCCAGGCTGTGCTGGCGTGTCTTGCTGAACGGTGTATCACAGGGCAGTGCGTGCCTGGCGCCTGCGCCGCTCCTTCGTGCTCAGCCTGGGCCGCCGCACCTCCCTGTTCCGCCGCCGTGCGCTCATCAAGCCCTGCTGGCTCGCCCGCTGCCCTGCTTGCTGGCGGTCTGCAGGAAGCAGGCGCTGCGGGATACGTTTGAGCGGGTGTACGGCGTGCCGACAGCCAGCGGCAACAACGGTGCGGCGGGTGCTGCCGCTTCCGTTGTTTGGTTTGCTTTTGCCTGCGTGATTGCATGCCGGGGGCCGGGCATGTGCTGCTGCTGGAAGGCATGTGCTGCTGCTGCGCCAGCAGCGTCGCATGCTGGCGCAGCCACGGTCCCTGCCCTGCCGCCGCCCGGGCGCCGGCGCGCCTTCCTGCCCCGCCTCGCCGCCGCCTCCGCCGTGCGCTGGTGCATTGTCTCTCGTCCCGCCTGGCTGCCCCGCCAGCCGCGCTGATGCCTCTCCCACCACACCCCTTCCCTCCCGCTTCCTCCTGCAGACTGGCTGAGGGGCAAGCTGCTGCAAGGTGGGGCCTGGCGCTTGATGGGGAGAGGGACTGTGGCGGTGTGATGGGGGTGGGGGTGGCTCCTGCTTGGCTGCCGCGCGGCTGGCTTGCTGCATCGCCCCTCCCATCCATCCATCCCTCCCTCTGACCCCTGATTGCCCCTGATGGGCCTATCCTCTCCTGGCATGCAGCCGTGGGCCTGCCCGCCCGCTGGCGCCCCGACGCCGACGCCGGCGGCGGCGGCGGCGGGCACCGGCGGCGCCGCCTCTGGCCGATCCTCAAAGTTCGCTCGCTCCAGCGGCGGCCCTCACCCCTCTGCCCGCGCCTCTCTGGGTGCACCCTTCTCCGCCGCTACCGGGGAGCAGCAACACCACCAGCAGCAGCAGCAGCAGCCGGTGGTGCTGGTGCTGCTGCAG